GAGAGAGAGAGAGAGAGAGAGAGAGAGAGAGAGAGAGACATACAGACATGCACACACCATCCTTCTCACACTGCCTCCAGGGTCCCCCAGGTTTAGGTAGCAAACATAGGGTGGTTGGTGGGCTTTCCAGTGTTGTCTACTAGTATGTTGTCCATTGGGCTATTTACCCTTACAAAAACCTCAGGTCACTTCTTCATGGTTATGAAGCTGTCAAGCCAGGAAGCCGATGTTACTTACCATTGTTTGATTCACCTCCAGTGACCTACTTAAGCAGCTTTCCATAAGTACATCTGGGGATAGGGCCTAAGATCATCTCTGGAATCTGCCTGCAAGGTACCCTTGGAATTGTAGTTTTTCTCTTCCCAACTGATATGTTTTTTTCCTGTGTAGCAATTAGCAGCTAAGTGTCCAGTTCATAACACTTACATTGCTGCATAGGCCAGTCCTACTAGTTTCATACTGTAATTGTAGTTGAGAGAGTACATAGTGTATATGTGTATGTGTGTGTATCTTTAGGTCATGCATACGTGTGCCTGTTTGTGAGTAAGTGTATCTATTCGTGTGTGTGTGTGTGTGTGTGTGTGTGTGTAGGCCAGAGGTCAACATCTGGTGTCTTCTTCAATTGTTCTCTATCTTCATCTTTTGAGTCAAGGTGTCTCACTGAATCAGAGCTCATTCTTTGGTTAGACTGACTGAACAGTGCTGTTTCCATTCCCCCAGCACTAGGGTCACAGTCACAAATCACACCCAACCTTTCCATGGGTGCTGGGGATCGGAACACAGGTGATCATGCTTTGTGGTAGGCACTGTACTGACAGCCATTCCCTCGGCTGCCCATTGAAGGGTCAGGCAGCTCTGGAACACGGCAAAACATGGGTCAAGCATGGAGAAGCTTTACCCAAATCATCTTTGCTTCTAGCATCAGGTGCTTTCACTCCTTAAGAAGCCAGAATCTCTTCTCCCAACAACTCTGTCCTTAGAGAAAGGCTTAGCACGGGTCACAGTGGCAAAGGCCCCCGGCACCAATGAATAGAGTCTAAGTCTTGTCCATCTCACCTGCCCACAGAGGCCAGTGAAGGAAGAGAGACAGAGAGAGAGAGAGAGAGAGAGAGAGAGAGAGAGAGAGAGACTGAGGCTGACCAGGGCTCCATCTTCACACTTGCTCTCACAGGCACTCCTGACAAGTTACGAGTACACAAGGTGGTGACCTGCACACTTGCTTCTGTAAGTCAGGGACAGTTTGTTCATACTCCTGTTGCACTCACCAAAGCAGTTGCACAGCCTACCTAACTTAAAGGAGAACAGTGAAACTCAGTAATGAAGGCACACCCTCACTGCTCAGCTAACCATATTTTTCCTCCTCTGTGGCCATGTTTTTCTTTCATGCACTGAAGATGTGGATAAAAATTTCACTTGAAACATCTCATGGGAAAAAAAAGCTAGCATAGTCCCCAGAGGAGAAATTCTAATCATGCTTTGAAGTCTTTCTAAGTCTGCTATGATTTGCTGGCCTGGAAACACAGTCTAGGTTTGTATAAAAATTCTGCCTATCACCCTTGGGTTATGAGGGAAGGACAGAAGCCCAAGAGGCTGGCCCCAGAACTTTCTCTGGGTTCTTGGTAAACATTTTCCAAAGAATGACAGAGTTCCTGGGTTTCATTGGAATATTGGGTGAGTGGGACCTAAAAATCATCTCCTTAACCTGGCCACAAGGAAATCTGGGAATCGTAGTTTTTCTTTCCCACTGACACACCTGCCTCTGTAACTCTAGGGACCAATGCTCAATTCCCAATACCTATACTCCTCAGGTATCCACCCTCATCCCAGGCTTTCTGTGACTTCCACCTTTACTCTATCTTGAAGGTACTTCTGACTCCTCTGAGCCCCCATGTGGCCTGTATCTTCACATCACTCCCTCTTTATTATCTGTGTTTTATAAATACCTTATTTCTCAATTAGGATGTGAGCTTTTGGACATTCTAGATGTTGGTTTGATTCATCTAAAATAGACCTGACACATATGTGGACTTTATTACATATTTCTGAATGATTCAAAGAATGAATCGCTATGGTTTTCCCACAGAGTCTCTGTGGGAAGTGCTTAGGATCTCTTAAGTGAAAAATGGCACATGGATGGATGGACAGACTACAGAATAGTTTGAATATGTACAGAGGCCAGTTGGCTTCTCACAGGGAGAATGAGCAAGTTGTTTTTCCCCAGAAAGTTCTTGATGAACAATAAATGTACACATACTAGTTCTTGGAACAGAACCAAATAAGAGTGAGTATGACTCAGAGAAACCTCTCACGAGTCTGTGAAGAGAGGCCCACACCCTACTGTGGTGGGCAGCTCAACAAGATGCACAAGTACATAACTATATCTTGGTTAGAATTTAACTCTTTGGTACAGAGGCAAGGTTCACTGGGCTAGGATTGAGGGATGTTTCTGCTTCACTGACGTTCTTCAGGGTCTAGGCTGATCATACAGGAGAAGTAGAGGGTTTTATTTTTAAATGACATGGCCACTATTTGTTTGACAAATGAAATGTTCCCTTGGATGAGGCATGGGATCACTACAAGTCCTTGGGTCCTGCAAGGGGACAGCAAGCCACAAAAGATGGAGCCAGAGGGGTACTGCCCAAGTGAGAATAACTCTCCCTCACCCCACCTCTCTCTCTTGTTCTCTCTCTCTCTCTCTCTCTCTCTCTCTCTCTCTCTCTCTCTCACACACACACACACACACACACACACACACACACACACACCACATTGAGAGGAGACCCACACACCATCTCCTTCCAAATGGCAGAAAGATAACAAATGGAATTCTTGTACCCTCTGGATCCTCGTGGGGGATCTTGAAGACAAGATGGGGAGACATGGAGGTAGAGAAGGGCAGGAATGTGGTATGAGCATCAAACACTATGGCATGAGACTCACATACATACCCCTTTTGTATGAACTAAAACAAACTTTAACTGCTACTTTCTTATGTTACCTTCAGCTCAACACAAGGTATAGGGGATCGGCTCCTACTCTGGGGCTATCTTCTGAGTTGAGATCTGTCTTGGCTATCCTATAATACTGACACAAGAGAAATGTAAGTTTGTGGAAGCAAACATCTCCATTCCAGAAAAGCAAGAAACAGTGGCCTTAGTACCTTCAAATAATCACTAGATAAGAACACTAGTCCAAGAGAAGGCATTGTGTGCACGACCTTTGAGTGGATGAGCCACTTTCTTTCAAAGTTGCCACTAGGCATGCCATGTCAGAATACAGTGTTATGCAATGATGCTCAGCTACCAAAAGGGTACCAAAGGATAAACGTGTTGTATTAGCATGAATCCTAATGACAAACAGACTGTAGTTATAAGCACATTGTAGACACACAGAACAGTCTCTATATAGTCTGAACATAGATACAAAATAAGTTACAGTTGCTTTGTTTTCCATCACAGTAGGAGTATAGCAGACAGTCACTGGATCAGTGGCCAGGTAGCAAGCCAAGGGAAAGGTTACAGTGGGGGATGGAGGGTACTGAGTACAGTGGGGATTTTTGCCAAGGACACCAGAGTCCCTGAAACTCTACAGAGAACAAGGTCCCAGTCCTCTCAAGATGGCCTTTTGAGAACTAGCACATAGTCCTGCTTGGTGACATCCAGTGGCTGAATTTGAGTTGGGATGCTCAAGGTGAATGGACGGGAGGCTCAGCGGGAACAGGCACACACAGCATCTGGCAGGCCAGCCCACTCTCCTGATGGCTTGGTTGGACTTCTGTGATGTCGGGAACACGAGGCACAGAGCCAGAAGGCACAATTTGCTTCTAGGAGGTGACAGATGGCCAGATTGATGGCCCACCAAATGCTGGTGAGCTCTCTTCCCTTGCCTGGATGCTCTGGGAGGCTGTGTGAGGAGCTGTGTGCTCAGATGGTGCTGTGCTCTGTCACCAGGTAGTAATGGTGGGACCTTATATCCATTAGAGGACAGAGACAAATGGAAGATTGGAATCTTCTCTCCTTGTGACCTTGGGAATTTGGGAAGGTCCCCTAAACCACTCTGAGTCTCTGGTTCCTCACCTGAAAAGTGCAGAACAGGGGTGGGGTGGGGAAGGGGGTGATGTGTACTTGTCTAGGGCATTAGTGAAGGCCTCAGGGACCAACATGGATAAAGTGCCTAATACTGCTGCTGCCACACAGGAGGGCCTTGGTATTTGTAAAGATACTGAGTATCCAGACAGCCTGGGCCCATAAACCCACAACTACAAACACCCTGTTCAAGAAGACCTCAGGGCATCTTCCTTGTGCTTTCCTACCAAGTTTTCCCTTTTTTATTCCCATCTGGGAGTCTTTGACACAAAATGGCAGGCAGTTTGCTGAGGAAGACAGGATGTCTTCAGTTTAGAAAGATAAAAGAACATGGGCCAGTGTCTCTCCAAGTCTGGGATGTAGTGCCCTAAGGAGGGTTCTCCATTTGGTTATCCTCCCCCAGCTTCTCATTTGCCTCCCAGCTTCCAGATCCTGAGTAAATGTCTAATTAGGAAGCCAAAGAGGGAAAATAAAAGCACAGAAAAGAAAGCGAATTGTCTATTCCATGAAAAGTCTTTCCCATCTGCTCAGAGTCTCGGTGTGGAGGCACTGGGGGATAGGGAGGGTCAGACCATTTGTGGGCCAGTCAACTGCCTCATGTATCTGGGGACTGGAGCTAGAGGGCAAGTTTGGAAACACAGGCTTATATCCTGGGATAGGGGAGGTACAGCGGCCCTTCTTCCAACCCTGGGAACTTGGAGAGGTGTTCAAACAAGGAAGAACCCTTCTCATTTACAGTGTGACTGTCAAGTCGTGTGTGTGTGTGTGTGTGTGTGTGTGTGTCTATGATCATCATGTCCATTCTCTCTTCTAACACTGCCTGTCTGAAGTTACCTGGCTTTGTCACTCAGATATTTTCCTCTTAGATGGAGGGATAAGATGGGCAGGTAGCTCATTGGGCAGTTCATGCCCCTCTAGCTTGACTTTGATAAGGTGGTTGGCCAGGGCAAACTCCTCATCATCCAACATGCCATCCTTATCAATGTCAGCTAGCTTCCAGATCTTGCCCAGCACACTGTTGGGCAGCTTGGAGCGTACCATCTCCTTTTTGGCATTGGCACCTGTGATCTTGCCATCAACCGGGGACAGAGTAAAGAAGATCTCATCATACATGGGCTTGTCTCGGGCCACCACCCACTCAGCATCATCAATACCCTCCCCGGCTCCCTCTCCATAGCCATGCCCAAAGGGGCCTTGCAGGGTTCCCTCAAATGCTCCGCCTTTCACCATCTGCACAGGTCGCTGGGTCTCTTCCTGGCGTACCAGCACCATGAGCTGGGCAATGTCATGTGCCAGCATGTCATCTACCACCTCCAGAAGCTTGTTCTTCAGTGGCTGGAATTTGCTGAAGTCCTGGGCCTGCAGCTGGTCCTGGGAAGAGAAAGAAAAAGGAGGAAGTAGCATACAAGGGAAGATCTCCCATACCAGGGAAGGTGCTTCCTATTGACTATAGAAAGCTTCCTCAATTATTGTTCTAGTGAAAGCGGCGAGACCAAGGGACTGCATGAGGAGAGAAGAACAAGGGCCTAGAAGCTAAGGATGGTTCTTTTTATGAAGAAACAGAACAAGAGTAAGAGCTGGGGACAAAGGGAACAAGTGTTGGTTTGTTTATTTACATCTCTTTAAATATTATTACAAAAGGGAACTCATACATTTCTTCCAAAGTTAGTTTTGGCTGTCAAGTGGAGACTCTTGATGGTGGTGGCCCTCTAAGATGGAGTCCTGTGGGTCCCCAGGAGAGCTTATGTTTGAAAACACATAGCAAAGTGCTTTTACTATCTGCCCACCAGTTCACTCTCCTCAGTGTCCCAGGAGTTAGAGAAGTCATAAACTATTCATATTTCGTGAGAGGGTCAAGGTGATGGTGACAGGGGATTGAAAATGAAAACAACAAAAGCCAAAGGTCACTCCCAGCCTCACAGTTCTCAGTCAGGATGCTCATTGGAATTGCCTGGTGAGAGGTCTCAAAAGACTGGACCCCTGTAGAGAATTCTGACCTAGTAGGCATAGGCAGACATGCTGACATTACAAAGGCTGTTCCCCTTGCCTTCACGGGGCTCCTCACCCATATCAGAAAAGAAAGATGCTCTCCTGGGAAGGCCTTGCAGTCTTGAAATGGCCTCCACATAGAACATCCAATTTCTACTTGCTTCTAGTTCAGTAGTTCTCAACCTTCCTAATGCTGTGACCCTTTAATACCACTCCTCATGCTGTGGCGACCCCCACACACCATAACATTATTTTTGTTGCTACTTCATAACTATAATTTCTCTACTGTTATTAATTGTAATATAAATGTCTATGTTTTTTGACAGTCTTAGGTGACCCTAGTGGAAAGGTCATTCCATCCCAAAGGGGTTGCAACCCATAGATTGAGAACTGTTGTACTAGAAGGTCACAGGTGCCTACTGTTGCCCTGGTCTGTATGCAGCAATCTCATTGTGTGAGTGGGGGAGAGGCCAGGAAATAAGGATGGACACATGGAGTCCACAGTAGACAATTTAAAAGCTATCCATAGCTACAGTTCAAGGGTAAGTGCTGGCAGGACACTTTTCTCCTCCCTTCTAGGGCCAGACCAGGGAGAGGGCTGTGGAGAACAGAACAGGGCTCTATGCTTAGGACCTTACAGACAAGATATTTCACTGGGTTCCCAGCACTGTGTACAAAGCCCTTTGCAGCCCCTGTTTACAGATGACATGAAGACTCAGTGTGTACCTAGTCTCTATGGCTCTTTCTTGGTTCTTGGGGACAGTTCCCAGCTTTACTACTTAAGAGTAACATGAATGCTTTGCTAGGAAAATGCTAAGACCTCAGCTGATTCTTGTATAAAAGGCAGATGAAGGTGCTCCTTCTGACAAGACCACATACACACAAATCCCAAGTGGCACTCCTAGGTTCAAGGGCTTACAACATAACCCAAAGTTGCTGTATGCCACAAACTGTTCCCAAGAAGTTCATAGGTAAACCTAAGCACCTAGGGGTCTATATCATTATCCTAGAGACGGTGGAGATGTGCCCTTCACTAGGTAGGGTCTTCAGTGTCATCAAACACACCTATGCCTTTGGGGACACTGGGGTGTTTCTCCCTTGGCTTGGCTAAGGCACATATTGTGAGTGATGATCCATCAGGAAGGACATGTCTAATGCTACTTCCTCGAATTCTGACTTTGGGTTTCTCCCAGGAGCTCCGTCAGCCCCCTTCTCTGGCAGCCAGTTAGTGTGACACTGTTTCCCACCAAAGGGTCCCTGACCCTCATTACCTGCATCCTCTTCAGGTTGGGGAAGTCCCCGGGGGAGATCTGGTGCTCTCTCTCAATTCGGCCATAAATCTCAGCCAGGTTGTTCACGAGCTCCTTCTTTTTGGTGTCCTTCCCAAACACCGAGGGCATCTCCTTCTTCAAGGAGCTGATGATGTAGGCATGGACCTGATAAAGAGGGGCAGAGGGCAAGCTCATTAGGAGCCCCTACTGGTCCTTCCAGGCCCTCCTCCTGCCTCTGCTTCCAAAACCAGCTGCTGCAGATGAGGACAACAGTAACACCCGCTGAGCACCAAGGCATCTAGTACAATGAGGAGGATTTCACACTGTTCCTGTTCATCCTCCATCAGCCCATTCAGTTTACAAACACAGGAAAAGGCACAGAGAAACTATAAAAGCATAGCCACCGGGAATCACCGAGGGAGTCATGGAGCCAAGCTGGCCATCAGCAACCACAGCCACCCCCACGCTCTTATCCAAGGGACCTCAGTTCTTGCAATTGACTCCTACCTGTGAACCTGTCTATACTTCATCTACCGGGGGCAGTCCTACCTTGGCCAGACGAGCTCTCTTGATAAGGTCATTGAGTTTTCGAAGGGCAGCATTCCGGGGTAGGCTCTGGATGTCTCTGAACAAGTCCTGCTCTTCAGCTTCGAAGAGCTTCCGGTTGTCAGGAATGAGGAGAGGGTGGGACCAGAAGGAGCCAATGTAGACCCGGATCACCTCCGGTGTGTTCACAATCTTCCCCAGGGACCACATGAGGGCCCCATACACCCGCATCAACTGCTGGGTCTCAATCTGGTCGGCCTTGTTCAAAACCACTCGCATCTTGTCCTCGTGGTTCTTGAGAGCCTTGATAACTTCTGAGAACTCGTCAGAGATGTCCAGCTTGTGGGCATCAAAGAGCAGGATGATTCGATCCACCCGCTCAGCGAACCACTCCAGGACAGCAGCAAAATCATACCCTGTGGCAGAGACATAGTCAGTGGGAGGAGCTTTAGGGGTCTGGACATATAGTGAAGGGTCTGATGTAAGACAACACAGTCTTGGAAATAGTTTCTGAGTTCAGACACTGGCTTCTCCCATTTGGTTGTTTG